TAGAAGGGGAGAAGCGCTTGTGACGCGTCACGTAATCTTCGTTCCCATGGCGTAACTCTTCCCAGTATTCTTTTATATATATATTTTGAATACGCTTTATTGACAAAGCACAAAATACAGACAGAAATTAACAAAACACAATGTCAGGGGGTTTCGTAAAAAAAAAAAAAATAGATACACACTCAAAAAATTGAAATTGGGTGGTTGTTGAGTATACAAGATTCATGTAGCATCTGCATGAAATTCAGCAACTTAATTTGTTCTTGTTGAGATGACATGATACAATCTAGCAAGAGTGGTTAGTTGCCTGGACTCACAAAATTCACAAGATCACATTAGATGTTAAACTGCAGGAAAATCGCTGGAGTTTTAAGAGGCAGGCAGCTACACCCACACCACGTGTATGCTATCGCTATTTATTGTGGTTGTTATTGTTAACCTGTCAAGGACAAAAACGTGCAGAAAATTTTGCATCAAGCCTTGTAATCATAGCTTTCCTAGTTTTGCTAAACCTGGATTGACAGCTTGATGGTGTGATGGTTAGTGCTGTTGCCTCACAGCAAGAAGGGCCTGGGTTCAAACCCCAGACTCTCCGACTGCATTTAGCCAAAGGAGTGGGCAGTTCCACTTAGTTTCTTGCTCAAAGTGGGTGGGGCTAGGATCAAAGGCTTCGAGGCTTCAAAGAGATGACGTCGCATAAAAGTCTTAAATAGGCCCTGTGTAACGGATTTTTAAACGCTTTAGCAAAGACAGAATAAATTCTAAGGAAACAAATAGATTATCAAACACAATGAACAACAACAGAGCTAGGATTAATCCAGGCAGTGACAGGATTCATAGCAACATTAATCCAATCCGTGTGCCAGCCCAATCTATCCATGTTGTGAACATCACAGCAAGAAATTGTTGTGGTAATTACATTAATATCACTTCTAGCAATTCTTACAGTTATAGCCGTGTTAGTTGTCCCTTCTTCGGCAGGTCTAAATTCTATTTCAAAAGAAAACACACCAAAATATCAACTAACTGGCGCAGAACTCAAAATGATGTAACCCCAAAGAAATCCTCTGCTCAACATGAAAAAAATTACAGATCTTTAGTGGAAAACTGTATGGAAGAACTGGTTCAGCGGGCTGTAAAGAAATCCGGCAACGTCATCAGTCCGGAAAGAGTGTCAGCCATTTACAACAGCCTTATCAACAACATCTGGCCTGAAATCAAAGATGAAATTGATCAAATCCCCTTAGAGAAGTTCAAAAACTTCCACAAGGTGATTTTCAAAGCCCTGTGTGAAGAGTTTGAAGATTCAGACTCAGTTCTGCTAGCCTTGGAATTAGATCAGCCAATAATCTACGATATGATTGCTGAAATTTTCATAAAGGAGGCAGCCAAACCATCGAAGGAACCGAGTCGCATGCGTCGGTTTTTCTCATTTATAGGCCAACTGTTTTGTTTTACCAGGAGACAAAATGAGGTTGATGTAATGTAGAAAGAAAATTGTGATATCAACTGAAAACATTTCTGGTATATGAGCTGGAGACTTTAAATTGGTTAGTTTTATAATATATACTCAAGATAACCCTTGGAACGGTCGCGGCAGATGGCCGCCCCTCACTGAGCCTGGTTCTGCCGGAGGTTTCTCCCTCTTAAAAGGGAGTTTTTCCTCCCCACTGTCGCCTTGTGCTTGCTCAGAGGGGTTTGTCTATTGGGGTTTTCTTTTTTAAAAACTTTTTTAAAAAGTTAACATCAATAAAAGTTTTTAAATTTTACACTCTTATTTCTGTTTGTTGTCATTGTCTGTAAGTTTCTTGTTTTGTATATATTTAAGAATCAAGAAACACCCACTACACTATGACCCTTTCTCCAAAACTCCAAGCTGGAGATGACCTTAGGCCAGGGTTCTCCAACTCCAGGCCTTGAGGGTGTCCTGCAGGTTTTGGATCTCACCCTGGGTCTACACACCTGAATCAAATGATTAGTTTATTACCAGGCCTCTGGAGAACTTCGAGACATGTTGAGGAGGTAATTTAGCTATTTGAATCAGCTGTGTTGGATCAAGGACACATCTAAAAATTGCAGGACACCGGCCCTTGAGGCCTGGAGTTGGAGACCCCTGCCTTAGGCTATGCTTTTCTTCTGTGTAATACTAATATATACCAGAAGGTGGTCAGACATGTAAGAGCATGTTCTTATAATACTATTCTGCAAGAGACAGTCTGTTTAAGAAACGCTGAGAAATGTCAAACAAGCAGACATCCAAAACATCTTAACACACCCCCTGGTGGTGGAAGTGTTAGATTCTACAGAGTGATATGATAAAAAAAAAAGTGTCTTTACTTAAAGTTTAACCTGTGAAGACATTTTTTTTTTATTTATTTATTTTTACAAATATACAGGGGTAGTGTTGACAGACGTTAAGGAAGAGAAAAACACAGAATATAGAGATGAGACCAGTCTGGTTGCAGGTGTTAACATGTTTAAGGTATTTATTTGTAAATAACTGTTGAAGGTGTATGTGAGATTACTAACATGTGTGGAGGTATCCATCAAAAAGAGAAGGAACAGCAGTCGGAAAATAGCTGTTTATACAGAAATTAAAGCATGTGTACTTTATTTGCCAAGATACTTGTAGAACAAAAGTGCACATTATAGAAAACGAAACATGCAAAATGAAACTCCACCAGAGGGAGCGAGAGGACAACATCCTGGAGGCTGCTAAGCTCCTCAACATCCCGACTGGAGGCTTCAGCTTTCAGCCGAACGGACCTGGCCAGGCTGCCCGGGTCTCTTCTGAGCAGTAGCAGCCTCTGAATCGCTTCTCTCGGGGAAGGCTGGGTCCGAGAAAGTGACGCTCATGTATATTCGGTCAGCTGTGTGTTCGCGGGCATAAGGACTGGAACACCGAGCGATGTCTGCGCCCGGTTTCACTAACCTGAACAGCTCCGTCAGCTACAGCCAGAACTCTGCGGCGAACGGCGGAGCAGCGCCACCCTATCAGAATGGTTCGTTAGCATGCTAACACCCCATTGGCGGGCTATTTGTCGGTCCTTCGCTTTGCTTTTTGCATTTTATACACTGGAACTGTCATTTACTGTCAGTCGCGATGCTGGCATTAGCTGTAAATTATGGGCATGAATTATTAAAAGACTGTGATGATTTTAGCTGAAGCTAAGCACTTGCTAAAGGTAGCTAACTTAAAAGCTAATGTGGGTATTGAAAACGGATGGTAACGGTAGCTAACTGTTAGCATGAAAATAGCTGTTTGACAGATTGCGCATCACCTCTCCATAGCCTCTTGTTATTATTAAATCTCCAATAACAAACGACTTAATAGAAGTTGCGTTAAAATAATTTACTTTCTATTAATAGAAGGCTGCTTATTTCAACTGAGAGCTAGCCTTTCAAGGAAGGCTGCTCAAGCGTGTTTGCAGTAAATGATAACCTGTAATCAGATTTTCATATTTAACATATATTCGTGCACGTGTATTAAGCTTCACAAGAATATCTAAACACATGTGAACAAACTAATTTGTGGAGGGTAAAGTAGGAAAGACAATAGTCTCTAATAATTGGTTCAGTTTTCAGGACAGTTTCGCAAAAATATCTCAAACGAGAAGGAATACAACCAACTAATTTCCTTCTTAAGTAAACAAATAAGAGGGGGATAAAATCTTAAAATCAGGCTGCAGTTTGGCTCAAAATAAAGCGTGTTTTGTACTTTGTGGTCCATTATTTCTAATTTGTCGTAGCTATGAAGTAGACATTAGCCAATATTCATTTTGCATATTGGAAAAATGTGTGTGGAGGTATGTCGTAGGCTTTATACTGCATCTATAAAAAGAGATAATAGAGCTTAATTCTATTGTTGCATGTGTATTTATGTACTAAAGATGGTGGGGACAATGGGCGTGTTCTTAGAGATCATTTCTATTTTTTATTTTTATTTTTTTACATTTTAGTCGTCTTTAAAGTTGAATGTTCAAAAAGGTGTGAGAATGCATTAATTCTGTAGCTAAATATGAATGTGAGGTGCAGTTCTGTAAGCTGTCTTTCTTTCTAGAGCCCACACTTTAATTTGTTAAATTACTACAGAGGGAGATAATTCAGTAGTTTTGTGTTTCTGAGATATTCC